TGCTTTCTAAAATGACAGAAGAGTCAGAGTCTGAAGCAGATCTTTCATCCCAAAGTATTTGTTTTACAATGAAGACAATGGACCTAAAGAGGTGAAGACTTGTTTAATGGTTGAGAAGCAACCATTCTTGCTTGAACAAGACTTAGCCTCAATCCCCTGGATTTCTGGTCCAATGCTCTTCCTAACAACTCTCTTCTTGCCAAGGAATGGCTATTCCAGGATGCCACTAGAAAGAGCCTCATTGAGGCTTAGTTGCAGGGAGTGAATACCTCCTACCCTAACAATGTTACAGACACAGGTCAGGCTTGAACAATGCTCTATTAAGGAATATCATTAAAAAGATAAAATACAGTAGCCCCTGTTTTGTTGTTGTTTTGTTTTTGAATACTTGCTATGTTCTGGGCATAATGTTAGGCTAAATGTTTTGCGTATATAAGCGTCTGTTCATTCGCTTAAATTTTATTCATATCTACTGTCTGCCAGGCATCTTATAGGCTAGCGTTCAATTAGTGAAAAGACATGAGTCTTCACTTTGTGGAACTTGCAGCAGAACTATTTTGTTTGTTGCATCAATTTCAAAGGTGTTGAAGATGAGGCACAGAGAGTAATAATGATGGCCACCATATATTGACCATCTGCCCCATCCCAATATTGTTCTAGGCATTTACTGAGTCAATCCTCACGATAGCCCTATCTATACTCTTGGGAAAGGAGGCAAGGAATGTTTAAGTGATTGTTCTTTTTTAAGCAGTATAAACGTTTATCTAAATAGATATACATCAGTGTTCAAACAACTTTGTACATGAGGGAAAATTCCATTTAACAGAATAGATTACATGTGTTACCAGTAAAAGAAAGAAAAAGGGACAACCCATTCATGTCGGTCTTTTAATTATCTGCTTTGAGTTGGTGACGTCGTCTTAGGTTGTCAAAGTCTGATACTTACACTGAGGAAAAATACCAGTAGAAACTTTGGGGCTGGCAGGAAAGTCAGATGACCCATAATTCTGTATGAATGAATTTAGGAAAATCTGAGATTATGTGCTTCAAGAAGATATATATGCTCTTAGCTTTTAAACTTGAATTTATAACCGTATTTGTGTTTCATAAAATATTAAGTTCTCTGTATAGAAGTCCAACTTGCTACAGATTTGGCAGAGTAGAGAAATGGCAGGAGCAGAGAGTCCAGTAGAGTGGTTAGAGCTCAAGAACACTCTGTCAACAAAAGCTGAAAGCAAAGTGATCCCAACAAGGATGGAGAAAAGAAACTGATGACCCCGAGTGGACCGCAAAAGAAGAGTCAGTAACCTAGGAGTAAAGAAAGTAATGAACATTTATTAGGTGGAAGTGGTGGAAATTTCAAATGCATAGATAGCAGTGAAGCGCCCGTATCCATCAACTAGGTTTGTCAGCATTAACATGCAGTCATATTTTCTTCAGTATTTTAGAAGAACTTACATGATTGTTTCAAGATCACAAATGTAGTAAGTGATAGAGCAGAGATAGGAATCTAGTACCAATGCCCATGATCTCAAACACTGTATTACAGAGCAGCTTGGATTTCTATTCTCATTCTTTTCATTAAAAGATGAATACAATGTGAAAATTCTGCCAGTGAGAATTAAGATCAGTTAGGTTTTATGCCTAGGTAAAACATGCAGCATAATGCTTGCTCTTAACAGATCCCTAACATGGTAAGAAAAAGGTGAGCAAGAGGAATAAAAAGAAAGGCTAGAAAAGCTCGGGAGCATCTCGGGATAGACAGTGTTGGAGCGTCATTTGGGAAAAATACATTTGAATGGGTGAGCTTGCTTTATTTAAAAACAGAAACAGCAAGAATCTATACAAACTTTCACATACTGGTTCCGAGGAGGACAGTTTCTGTAGTTAAACCTCAGCCATAACATGCATTGTGAAATCAAACTTACTCATCTGTTTAAGTCATCCTATTGAAAGGCAAGAAGACACACATTGGAATAAACAACAGAATTGAACAATTTCCAATTTCAAGTAAATTCTCTATTTAAAAAAGAGAATGAAACAGTGAGGTAGTAAATGTCTCCACTCTGTTCTACCATAAGAGCCTCTTTGAGGTTTTAATAATATTATAAAGAAAACAGCTTTGAGATTAAATATAAAACAGTGATCAACAATTTAGAAACATTTTGAAGAAGCAAATATTATATCCCAGTGTCACCAGGCTTTCAGTGTAAGACAGAAAACAGAACAAGAATTCTCCTTTGTTCTATCAAGAAAGCATAAATATTGGCTCCGTATTAAGCCAACCTCTTGCAGCTGTACACCAGCGCACAGCTATTAAAAAGGTTGTTAAATTCCCAGGGAAATAAAAATCAATTTCAGTCATATAAGTCTGCATATAAATGTACTGTACTTTATTCCAAATATTTTCTCATCAAGGAGTTTGGACCAAAAAAATTTTTGAGTGAGAATATCTCTAATTCACCTATTATACCATTTATGAATATTTTGAATGACTTCCAGTAACTTTGTTTAGAGAAACTCAGTGTCTCCATAACATACCAGTGGCAGTTTAGCATTAGTGTCAATACAGTCATCATTTGGCAAGACAGCCCTTCACAGCAATAGACCAGAGTTCTGATTGCCATCTTCAAATATTTATTATATGTCACTTCTGTCACAGTACCTGGATGGTTGTCCTTGCCTTTTCTTGCCCTCTTGATAAGGTACTCATTTCTCAGATTATATTAAAAACATGTCTTATCTGTTAAGGCTGAGAACGAACTAAGTGATTAGTATTTTAATCCCAAATCAGTGTGTGTAATCAGGTCTTGAAAGAATTCTAGTCACTGCAGCCTTTGTTCACATTTTTGATAGATAAGATGCTCTTGTGCCATTTCCCTGGAGCTCATTTCACATGTTCTATTTGTAGGATTCTTACCTCTGGTACAAAGATTCTTATTATTTATTTGTGTGACCCAAGTGAAGAAATGGATGTAATATTAATTTTCTGGATTACATAAGAACCCGTAAGGAATGTACATACTTGCTAAAATTGGAAAGAAACAGATGTACTTTTCAAACTTTTGTGAACATTAGAGTCTATTTGAGAGCTGGTTAAGTCATAATCTTGGGTCTACAACCAGAGAGTCTTTTAAGAAATTTATTTTTATTTTTAATTATGTGTATGCATGTGTGTCTGTGGGGGTATGTGCACGTGAGTGCAGTTGCCTATGGAGGCCAGAAGAGGATGTAGGGTCCTCTAGAACTGGGGTTACAGGTGGTTGTAAGCCACTACACAGGGGTGCTGGGAACTGAACTGATCTGTTGCAAGAGCAATAAGTGTTCTTAACCACTGAGCCAACTTTCCAGTCTCCACAACTAGAGATTCTTTTGCTTGTTTGATTTTACAATCAGAGATTATTTTTAATTTATATTTTAAATGAATTTTTGTGCATTCCATATAGTACATCTTAATCATATTTAGACCCCCCTCCCCTATCTGCACCCCCCTTAGCCCGCCCACAGTAATTCACACATTCTGTCACCCATGTTAAAGTCTAAGGTCTATTGAGTCAAGCTTGTGTACCCAAGATGTCCCTCGGTGTGAGTTCACCCACTAGAGTCTGTTCAGCCTATCTAGCATCACTCCCTTAAGGAAGATCAACTTTCCCTCAGCCAGCAGTGATCCAGAGATTCTTAACTAAGCAGGTTTGGTTTGGGTTTGAGACTTTGAGTTCCCACAAGTACCCAAATGATCTGATATTGTTAGTTCAAAGACCACTCTTTGAGCAGCAGTGGGGCAAGAATGGAGTGGCCAAAAGCAAAGACTTGGGAGTAGAATGATCTTAGGTTCAAACCCTGATTTGTCAGTTATGGGGTTGTTGATGTGGGATAGTTTTGGTTTTGTTTTGTTTTGCTTTGACTATGTTTAAGTTTTAGTTCATCTGGGGTTTTGTAAGGATAGTGTTGGGCAGACACCTGGCATGACAGCCATGCCAGATATATGATAGCTGATAGTTATTACAAATGAAGTGATTTAATTGCCTGGGGTTGATCTTGTGTTCCATATTCTAGAATATCTGATAATTTATCTGTTATCTGTGAGGTTCATCTAGAGTAGGAGTTACCTGACAGTGGGTTAGCAACTATTGAGGATTTGAATTGCTCAGGTAAGCGCTAAAACACTTAAATATTTTGGCTTCTGATTCTAAAATAAATTCAACAGGAATTCCAAATAAGCACCACATTACAGTTTTGTTTGATTACGTCCCTTGAATTATTTTTAATTTAAATAACTTTACAGTCTCATAGCTCTGGCTTCTTATGAATGATCTTTTTAAGAACATAGTTTATTTTCAAAATCAAACTCAAGTCTTTGGAGACTAATATTCTTTCTGTCCATATTTTGCTATTAAGAGGTCTGGTGTTCTGCCAAGGGAACATATTAATAAATTTAAGCTTGCAATTTTCATTGTCATGTGAACATTGAAATTGGCTCCCAGTTACACAAAGCAGCCAATTCAACAGGATACGTGTATTGGATTTACAATGAACACACTCCATGAACAAATGACTTTAAAATCCCTGATTTTTGTGGTTTGTTTTTAATTTGTTGAAGAAAAAAAAAAAAAACATGATCTGGGACTAAAGACATGCCTCAGCAGTTAACAGAACACTGGCTGCTTTCACAAAGGATACAGATTCAGTTCCCAGCATCCACCTGGTAGCTAACAACTGTCTGTAACTACAGGGGATCCAGTGCCCTCTTCTGACCTCCACGGACATTTCATGTACATGGTGCACTTACATATATGCACACAAAACACTCATACCATACAGTAAAATTAAAAAAAAAATTAAGCATGATCTATTAGTCACAAAAATCCAAGTCAATTCAGACCAAGTTTATTTTGAGAAATATGTGATTTTTTTTAGTCCAGTGTTAATAAATGAATTTGTTTTGCGTTTAAACGTTTATTCTATCGTTCATCTCACACTAAATTCCGTCATGTTTGTAGGACTAGAGACAACACTTACCTCATCCTCTCAGATCTTACAGTCAAGTGGGAAAGGTAAGAACATAGCTATTAGAACCTCATTTTAACTGCCAATAATTTCCAGTCCTTACAGTTAACAAGCTTTCAGAAATATTTGTGTTCAGACTCAATCACCCATGAATTTGTTAACCGTCGCCCAAAGCTTTGAGCTCATCATCAACAGCACTAGCTGGTGTCTTCTGGAAGTAAATTCACCAGAGCTTCTAACCAAAGGAGATCTTTACATTTCCTGTGGTTTTTATTTATAAAATAAATGTAGAGGGGGCAAATCAAGTCAGTTTGACAGTTTGCAACTGGCTGCCACATAAACTCTGTAGCAAAATGACATGATTAAAGAGTAATCATCTGAAACTTGATTTGAGTATTCAAAAATACATGGATTTATATTTATATTGTGTTATAAAGTACATATTTAGACCCCCCTAAAATCCACAGGTTCAAGCTCTAACCCAATGTCATCACATTTAGAGATGGGGACTCTTAGAAGGTAAGGGTTTAATGAGGTCAACAGAGTGATGCTCTCAGTAAGCTATCTGGTCACCCACCAGATAGCTTATTCTCTCCATACCATGTGAGGACACACTGAGAAGGTTGTTATCTGAAAACCAAGAAGAGAGAATTTATTAGAAGCCAAATCAGTAAGCACCTTGACTTGGACTTGCCAAGCCACTCAGTATACATATATGTGTGTGTGTGTGTGTGTGTGTGTGTGTGTGTGTGTGTGTGTGTGTGTGTGTGTGTGGGTATGTGTGTGTGTGTGTATGTGTATGTATTTTTTTTCCTGATGGCAGCCTACACAGACTAAGATATGACCTTAGACGGCCACAGAGATTTATTTGTACAACACTGTGGAAATGCTCCAGAGTTATCTTTTACTATTCCCAAGCAAGGGCCCCTTGGCCCTGCTTTGCCAGGCTGGCTCTTTATCGTTGCATGAACAAAATTTCTCCTTCTTGCCTCTGGTTTGTGTTCCTCCTGTGCTGTTTTCTTTACCCCAAATGACATCAAATCTCCCACTTCAAGTTGGGAGGCACATCTCTAAGAACTCTCTGTAATTACCCCTGATCCTTTCCCACACAACACATCACTAGTTGTTTCAGCATCTACCAATTTGCTTCTCGTCCCACTGTACCTTTAGGATCATTAAGGGATATAGATCTTTCATTCTCAATTAGGATCTTCCTTGAGCATCTCTAGGACAAATCTATGGTCTAAATCTTTTGTGTCCTCCATTGGCTCATTTAGGGTATTTTACAAATAAAATGGGAATAAAACTTACTGAATGAAAATTGAACTAAACACTTGGAGCCAACGAATGTTCTGAGGCAAATGAATCAAGTAATATAAGGATGTACAATAAAATCCTGGCTGCAGAGGCTGTGGGTGGGTGGGTTGTGGGAGGAGAGTTGTTCTGGATAAATGAGTTTAATAGATGGCTGAGGATTTATCCTTTTAAACACCAAAAGTTTTACTTTTAATTATCGTGGATGGAAACATTTCCAATATGTTTTTCTAAAATAGTGCATTGTAAACACATCCAGCCAGAACACTTGGGTTGTCATTAAAAAGGGAATTAAACTATAACCCCAAGAAGTCCTCAGGCTCTTCTGAGATACGAACAATGGTTTGTCCTTATTCTAAATGATTACAGAGTGCTATGTTGCTGCTGCTGCTGTTGCTCTGTGTGTATGTGTGTGTGTGTGTGTGTGTGTGTGTGTTTTCCAGCTTCCACCCCCCGACCTTTACTGCTGCTGTCAGTCTTACCGATGCCTTTGTAAAATGACTACAACCATATCTACTCCCTGTTCCTAATTTGCTTCTTCTCATCTAAGTTTGGAAATCAGAACGCTCAAGTTCACTGTGGTTGTTGCCTCATTATTAGAAATGTGTGCAAACTGGGAGGAAAGGGTTTTCTGTGTATGAGGGTTTGCTAAGGTCTCTGTGGCTAAATGGGGTCAGAGTCAAATGCATCTATGTTATGAACTCTGAGTTCCACTGCTTGGAGGCTGTTTGTTGGATATATACTTTTCAAATAAATTAGGAATTTGGTCATATATTCTACAAATACTCATGGAGTACTTGTGAAGTAAAAGATACATGGTAGATACTGTAGAATAGACATCTAAAGTAAATACTCTGCACGTCTCGCTCACTATTTTCTATATTGCACTAGCACATCATAGATAAATATTTATTGGCTGAGTGAACTTTATAATCTCATTGAAAGATAATGACACATAAACGCATATGAATAAGCTTACAATGTAAACTACAGTAAGGGTCATAATAAGGACGTACGAGTAAAGTCAATTCAAGAATCAAAAGATTATTTCCTGTTGGAAAGTCCGGAAAGACTTCACAGAAGAGGTAGTAATTTTGACTGGGACTTTAAGGATTGGAGTCATATTTCAATCAGCAAGTGCTTAGGGGACTAAGAAGAAATAAGACTGTTAGAGAGACAAGGCCCAGATGCTGGAATGGATGGGGTATATTTGGGAGTTGATTAGTACATTTTGGCTGGGGTTCGTGTAGGGGAGTAGGAGGAGATAACGTTATGAAGTCACACTGAAGTCTCATCGTGGGTGGGCCTTAACCCACAGGCTGGAGAATCTGGGTCTTGTTTATTAGGCGATGGGAAAGAACATTGAGATTTTTTTTTTTTTTAAGCTGGGAGCTGACATGCCTAGAGCTGAGCTTTAGATTACCTTGGCTGTTGCTGGAATGTAGGGATTGAAGGGAAGCAGGGCTGGAGGTAACATGGATCTGATGAATGGTGGCAGTGGGAGAGCCAGTGAGGAGCCCTGGTCACAGACGGGTCGAGACAGAACAAGAAAAGGGCTGTTTATTTGCTGCCAAGAGCAATGTAGAACATGCTGAGTTCTACTCCAGTGATATCTTTTCCAGAACATACAGAGTCCAAAAGAACAGGTTTTAGGGGGGATGGAGAGGAGTTTGATTTAGGGTAGGCTGAAGGATGGAGTGGATTGATGATAATTCTGCTGTAAAAATCATTCGTGGGGAACTGCACTGAACAGTACTGAAAGGGTAGCGAGTATTCTCAAGGAGAGTGCTGATGTAGACGGAAGCACACAAAAAGGAGCTCAAAGGCTCCTAGCTTGTTTTTAGTACCTCCTTGACACAACTGTATTTAAAATTTATTAATTCTGGGGATGGAAAAATGGCTCAGTGGCTAAAAGCACTGGCTGCTCTTGCAGAGGACCTGGGTTCTGTTCCCGGAACCCACATGGTGGCTAACAACATCTGTAACTCCAGTCCCAGGGAATCTGACATCCTGTTCTGACTCTATGGGGATTGCACCACCCAGGTGCACTTATATACATGTAGGCAAAACTCATATATACACACACACAATAAATAAATAAATAAATAAATAAATAAATAAATAAATAAATAAATAAATAAATAAATAAAATATTGATTTATTCATTCTTATTTTTCAAATAGTTTTCAAGTGATTCTATAAAGGAAAGCTTTTGCTTGGTTTTTTTTCCCCCTGAGAGGGGGGGGTCTTTGCATGACTACAGTGTTAACAGGATTTGAAATTCAAGTGTTTGCTTGTAGAGGTAACAGCTCATCTCATTAGAAATACATGTGTTTTCAGATTGCCCAGCAATTCCCAATAAAGTAGGAAATCTTGGATGCTATACTGGATTCCATAGAATGGATGAGTAGGATTTCGATATAATTCAAGAGGAAACTAAGTCATGCTCAGACTACACTTAATATTGTTGCTGCTTGATAAATTGTGCAGGTTAGAATAGTTTTTGGCCCATCAAAATCTCAAAGGCGTCTTCTTGGGTTCAGATCACCCTCAGCAGTAGGTTTCTAGACCACAGGTCTTCAATTAAGAATGGCCCTTGAAGATTGATACTTGAAGATTGGTAGTCAGCTGCCAAGATTCACCTTTGGGGCAAAATACCAGCAGGTTCTTGTGAGCCTGCACCTTGGTAATAATATACACAGTACCTGAGGTGTAATCAGTCTGGGCAGGAACATGTCAGGCACGAAGGGCTAGAGAGGAGATTCTGTATAGCTTCTCAACACGACCAAAGGGAAAACTGCAAGGGCTCTCCATTAGAGATCTACTGCTTTTGAAACTACAATAAATACAACTCTATTTGACATGATAACCACTAGTCACATGTGACTATTGAACATTTAAGGGGGCTAGAGAGATGGCTCAGCGGTTAAGAACACTGGATATTCTTGCAGAAGACCTGGGTTCGATTCCCAGCACCATTATGGCAGCTAATAACTGTCTGTAACTCCAGTTCCAGGGGATCCAACAGCCTTTTCTGACCTCCGCGGGCATTGCACTACATGGGTGCACTTACCTACATGCAGGCAATACACGCTTACACATAAAATAAAAATAATAAATAAGCCAGGCGTGGTGGCACTCACCTTTAGTCCCAGCACTCGGGAGGCAGAGGCAGGCAGATCTCTGTGAGTTCAAGGCCAGCCTGGTCTAAATAGTGAGTTCCAGGACAGCTGGGGCTACAGAGAGACCCTGTCTCAAAAAAGACCAGAAAAAAAAAAAAATAAATAAAAATTTTAAATGTGACTAGTCCAGAGGCTGCAGATGTGTCTCAGTTGGTGGAATATTTGCATAATATGCACAAAGCATTTTCTAAAACTAAGGGTAGTGGCGTACAGATATAATCCTAGCACTAGGGAGGTAGGGGCAGGAGGGTCAGAAGTTCAAGGTCATCCTTATCTATATAGCAAGTTGGAGGCCAACCTGGAATACATGAGCTCCTGTCTGAGAGAGAGAGAGAGAGAGAGAGAGAGAGAGAGAGAGAGAGAGAGAGAGAGAGAGAGAGATCATCCAAATTTAGATTTGCTGTGAGTGTAAAAGAACACATCCAATTCCCAAGACGGTATGTGAAAAAGAATGCCAAATAATTTTTTGTTTTACTGGTTTCATGTTAAAATACTACTTTAGATAGTTAAATAAAACATTATTAAAATAAACTTTAAATATTTCTTTTTAC